GGTGTGATGGGGGAGTCATTTTTCCCTGACTGCCGGGTCATCTCCCTCACCCGGAAGAGGGGCCCTCCCCTCCACTCTGTTGGTCTGGGGATGCGATCCAGTTCCTCTCGCTCTGGAGGGAATGGCCTCTTTGTTCTTTGAAACCCTGGCTCTGTGTTTGGGACAAGTGTGTGTTTGGACCGCTTCTCTGACCCTCTCTCCACACACGCTCTCCGCTGGCCTCCTCACCATCCTGGGGGCTCTGGTCTCACTCGCGCTCCCGTGTCTCTCTATCACGCCTGCCAGACACAGAAGGCGAAGTCCTGGCATGTATGTGTGTAAGCTGGAGCGAGATGGAGAGGGAATAGAGGGCGTATTGAGATAGTGCCACGGTGTGTAAAATGTGATGACGCAGAGCCTCTCCCAGGTGGGAGAGAGAGGCCGGAGGGCAGGAGAAGGGAAGTGTGTGCTCTCGTACCCGCGCTCACTGCTGTTGGTCACATTGCATTTCACTGAAGCCGCTGTTGATTCAAGGCTGTGCTGATGGCATTGTTGCTGACTCTGGGCTGCCGCCGGAACTCATGTCATGTTAGGATGAGACATCACTGCCTCCCCGAAGGCCCCTGTGGCAGGCTGATTCCTGGGTAAACACAGAGCACACGCAGAAAACACTCAAACCTGTAAAGCATGTGTGTGAGTTTATTTGAGCCAAATCGTTGCCAGTTGCCGGGAAGCAGAATCTCAGCGGATTGGAACAATGCTCGGGAGAACGGCAGGTTTCACATTGTTTTACACATTACAGTCAAAGGAGGGGGCCTGGGTGGGTCACAGGAACTCCCGATGATGGGTTAGGGAGGCGGGAGGAAGCAAGGGGGAAACCTCTGGGATTGGGTAAAAGTAAGATGACGGACACATGCTTCTCTCCCTATGCGGACAGGCAGCAGACAGCACTGAACAGGATAATAGCAACAAGGGGGGACCTGTGGTCTGACCCACGTGTCCAGTGAGGTCAGCAGGGGCTGCCCAGAGAGGAACCTGCTTCAGGAAAAGTCATTAAAATCTTGGCCAAGATCACACAGGGAAACGGGGTTACCCACACACAGGAGCGGGTTCACCTTCCTGCAGCCCCTCTGGACCTGGGGGGGGGAGAGGGAGCAGCTCTAGGTCAAGCCTCAGGCTGACCTTTGGCAGAGCCACAGACAAGTCCCAGCGGGGACAGCAGAGCTCTCCCAGCATAATTAAGCCTGACCTGGTAGCCTCGCTCGTTCCTTCCTAAGCAGCTAATGGGCTGTGGGAGGTGCAGCAAGTGCTGCCGGAACAGGAACCTTTGTATTCGGTTTCATCTACCCTTGTTTTAATCAGACTATAAAATAAAGCACCGGGCCCTAGCTGGTTTGGCTCAATGGATAGAGCATCAGTCCCAGGTTCGATTAGGGCACATGCCTGGGTTATAGGCTCCATCGCCAGTAGGGGGCCGTGCCGGAGACAGCCGATCAATGATTCTCTGTCATCGTTGATGTTTCTATCTTTCCCTCCCTTCCTCTCCTTTCCTCTCTGAAATCAATAAAAATGTATTTAAAATAAAGCATCACTTACAGGCTGGGTCTTTTGTGTCCTCATCCAGGCATGGGAGATCCACCGGGCCCGAGCTGTATTCTCTCGTCTGTCTTTTCTTCAGTCCTTCACCTCCCCTCCTCAGGCTCATCCCTGACTGTGCCGGCTCGGCACACGTAGGCCTCGGCACAGCAGGCAGCAGAAGCTGGGGAAAAGTCGCAGAGCACAGTGTGTAGCTCCCCAGGATTGGTGTGGATTCCATCCCCATCCCTGACCCATCCCTGCCCCTCCCCAGGACCCAGGCAGATCCTCCCTGCCCCCCCCTGCTGCCCCACACTGAGTCAGGGAGGGGTGGGCTGGTGGAGAGGGGCAGGCAGATGCATGAAGGGGGGATGGAAGGGGCAAGGTTGTGGCCCTGGGACACCTCCATCCCCCCACCCCCAGGAAGCAGGGGCCATGTTGGAAGCTCTGCCTGCAAAAGGCCTAGTGAGGCTGAAGCCAGGCAGAGCGGCCCCCGAGGATGCGTCTGGCGGGAGCCTCAGAGTCACTCACGTCCAGCAGCTTCCTGGCTGCAGCCTGGGCACCCAGTGAGCTCGGGGGACACAGTCCTACATCCCGAGGTGTCCCCTTTCCCCTGGACCCCAATTACCAACCACAAGGTTTTTATTTACATCTCCAAAGGAAGTGATTATTCTCTTAATGGAAGCAGTTTTCTCTGATTTTCAAATGAGGTCGTTCAATTTTTTTTTTTTTTAAATCAAAGTAGATTTTTGTTTGGGCTCTTCATTACAAAGCAGTGTGGGCCTGGAGGACATGGGAAATGCAAATAAGAAACAAGCTATTTAGCAAAAGCCTCCAATTATGCGACACGGAGACACAGCTAATAGAAGGGGATAGGCGTGGCTTTTGTTGTGTGCGTGTCAGATTTCCCCGTAGGTGACAAAATACTGTCTAACGTCTCTGCTGGGCCTTGCTTTGTACTGGGTCTGTTGTGAATATTTCTCCCTGTGGACAAACATTCTTTTAAGCACATTTCGCTGGCTGAGCAGCTCTCCATTGTGCGGCTGTATCCCCATTAATTGAATCAGTTTTCTGTTGTTGGGAGCTTGGCCTGCGTCCAGGTCTCTGATGTTATTATACTGAGATGGTTATAAATAGCTTTATAGCTGGCATTGCTGAAAGGAGCTGTCTTAATTATTTCTTTTTCAAAAATACTATTTTTTTTATTGATGTCAGAGAGGAAGGGAGAGGGAGAGAGAGAAACATCAATGAGAGGAGAGAACACTGATCAGCTGCCTCTCGCACGCCCCGTACTGGGGATGGAGCCTGCCACCCGGGAATGGAACCAGTGACCTCCACACAGGCCAGGCCTAGTGATTTCCTTAGCCGGAGTTCTGCTGTGGGTGTGGGATGGCCGGTGGATGTAGCAGTGCGCCCTCCGGAACCACCAGCCACCTGACGGGGCACCTGCAGGGAGCAGATCTGCCAGCCCTTCTCCCTGCCCCAAACGCCCTGTTTTTGCACCAAAAACGACCTCACCCAGAGACCCAGTCCTGCCTGCTCTCACCTCAGAGGGGCCCGCAGAGAACACAGCCCCGGAGCCCGCCACGCAGACAGGAACCCTGTGCCTCATCCCGCACCGTCCTCCTCGGCCCCGGGGCTGGCGGGAGTGAGATGCCGCTGGGACCTGGCTCTATTGTTAGCAGCTCATTGTTCCTCCCTCTGCGGGCAGCGCTGCCAGCTCACCCTGGACCTGCCGGCGTTAATGAGTCTCAGGAGGAGGCGGAGGGGAGGCTGAAGGCAGTTTGCTCAGCAGAGTGGTTCCGTCTCATGTGCGTGTGCCTTTGGGAGCCTCAGGCCCCAAGTGCCTGGCGCTGAATGGAAGCATGGGCCCCCAGGCGTCCGCGGGGAGAAACCGGGGGCCACAGATAAGGCCACTCCTCGCGCACTGACCATGGAAGGCACGCGCAAAGAGGGGCAAAGCTTGGCAAAGCTTATGTGCAGGTGATCGCCCTTTCCTCTTCCCTTGCGAACACAGACCCGTCTCGCCTGCCATGCCTGGTACCGAGCTCTGACGCCCGGAAGCTTTTACGGTTTTTGAAAATCCTCCACAGACCCTGTGACAAAGCCCCCACCTCGGTGCCCCGTCCCCGAGACCAGCCACCCTCATTCCCCCCCTCAGGAGCCGGCCTCCTGGTTCTCTGACCCCTCCCCCTCAGGGGCCTCCTGGCTGCAGGTCACCTGCCCTCTCCTGGTGCTGACCTCCAGCCTCTCTCTGGCCCGGGGACTCTAGGCTGCAGACATCTTTCCAGACGCAGGCATGCAGTCAGTCTCCTTTCGCGCCTACAAGTTTCTCTGCCAGAGAAAGCCACGGTGTGTTTCCGCCAGACGCCCTCAGCAACTTCCTCTCCTCCTGCTGGCCCTGCCACCCTCTGTCCCCAGGGCCCAGGATTCCAGAGCAGCCGGGGCGGGGGCGGGGGCGAGGGCCGGAGCGGGGGCGGGGGCGGGGGCCGGAGCGGGGGCGGGGGCGGGGGCCGGGGCGAGGGTGAGGGCAGGGGAGAAGGCTGGCCATGGAGTATACTCCTCCTGGCAGATACTTGTATAGGATTTATTACAGTGAGACCAGGGGAGCCCGGCCAGTTGGCTCAGAGGTTGAGCACCGACCTATGAACCAGGAGGTCACGGTTCGATTCCGGGTCAGGGCACAGTCCCGGGTTTCGGGCCCCCTCCCCAGTGTGGGGCGTGCAGGAGGCAGTCGGTCCATGATTCTCTCTCATCACGGATGTTTCTATCTCTTTCTCCCTCTCTCTTCCTCTCTGAAATCAACAAAAATACAGCGACATGTTTACTAGGGCGGGGAGTGTTGGGGTGGCAGCCACTCTGATAAGCAAACAAGTCCTTAAACACTGTCCTGTGGCCAGACAGCACCCACCCGGGGAGCGGCGCTCCACGGGGCCGGCAGGAGGTGAACCAACCATCGGTGCAGGAAAAGCAAAGGCTGTGGAGTTCAGTGGTGAACGTGTTTGGTGGCTAAAGCATGATGGGCCATTTGACAAAACCTCTCGTCTAGGGCTTCACCGGCAATTGGCATCCTCACTTCTTCCTGGGGAACGAGCGAAGTCTCTTCTGTATAAACGTGGACGTCTTCCTGGGCAGCTCCCTTTCCTTGTCATGCGAGTCATTGCAACCTGCCACAAAGTCAGCCGTGATGAGCCAGCAACAGAGACCTCCCGCCCAGAACGGCTCAAACCAATAAAACGGAGCCCTCTCCTGGGATACGGGGTCTTTGTTTCCCAAATACAAGAATAATGGTTCAACTTAGTGCAGCTCAGCCGTCTCGATTCGTAAAGAAATAACATTTTAAGCCGCAACTTAAGAACCCAATCTGCCTAATATAAATGTATTCCCTGGGCGTTTCCCCAGGAGCTGCACAGAATCCTAATCATGTTCTCTCTCTCCCGTTCCAGTGAGCCAGGGAGGGGAAGCCTTGGTCTCCGACACGTGTCCAGACCCGGGGGCTCCGGAGTTCGGACGGCGAGCCGGAGCTGACTTCAGGTGGGAGATCCAGGCGTGCTTTGAACAGAACATTGTTTTCTAATGCACGAAATGTGAGCTTGCCATTGCTAATGTGTGGTTTTATTTCCCTTTCAACTTAAAGACACAGCTTCTCCGTTATTAGGCAGCGATGTTATTAGTAGAACTCTACATTTATGCTGACAAATTTCAGGTATGCTGGGGTTGACAGCTTTCACTGCGTGAGCCCGTATTAAAAACTTAACTCAAAATGTATATAATCAAAATGCACCTCTAGGTTTTCCCCCTGTTTTCATTTGTTCACTCCTCACAGTCTAATGCATTTGGGTTAATGTGTAAAAAAAAAAAAAAAAAAGTAGATGGGGAAAAATGTAACTGTCCCCTCATAATTATTTCATTAAATTAGCTTTCGTGTTAATGAGTGTGAGTGGCCTGCGGTGCGTTTCATTTGGAAAATGTTGTGATTCACCGTACGAGGGTCACGCCTTTCAGTCAGCGCGTGATGATGGCGGTCCTGGGAGCAGTGCTGTTGGCTTGGACATTTGCATCTTCCCATTTATTTCAAGAAACGTAAACCTCCCTGACAGTGTGGCTCTGTGAACCGGGAAGCCACAGTTGGATCCCTGGCCAGAGCACAGGCCTGGGTGTCTGGGCTGATCCCCAGTAGGGGGCGTGCAGGAGGCCGCTGATGAGTGATTTTCTCTTCCTCTTTGTTCCTCTCTGAAATCAATAAAAATGTATTTCTGTAAAAGAAACGTAAACCATTTCAAAATGACTCAAGGTGGGAACACATCTCAGAAGAAAGCTTCACAATCAAACACGGCAGGGAGCCAGGGACTCGTTTTTTCTTTCCTGCAATCTCCTGGTTTTTGAGAGGGAAGCAGGAAAGGCGTGCGGTGGGTCAGCCTGTGAAGTGAGCCAACCTCTGCCAGGAGCAGTGAAGAGGGGGGACGGGACCTGTGTCCGCAGCACTCGTGCCCCAGGGATCCCGGCTCTCGCAGTCTCAGGCGGTTTTAACGCTGTCTGTCCAGCGGGAAGGCCTTCTGGTCCCTGTGTCGCCGAAGACACTGAGCAGAGCCCAGGCCGCAGGGGAACAGACTTAGTGAGGCGTCCTGCCTGGTTCCCGATCTTAGATGAGAGCATTCTGGCTTTCACCTTTCCGAGCTATTTTAGTTTCACCTTGTTTATTGATTCCTTTCACCAGGAAGGAAGTGCCCGTCCATGTTTAGGTGACTGGAAGCTTTCCATCTGAAACGGGCAGAGCATGTTGTCCAAAGTTTTCCTTCATCAACAGATGTGATCTTTGGGTTTATTGGTTTGTTCGTAGGCATGACATAGATTTTCCCAACTCTGCACTTTGGGGTGAAATTCATTTGGTTTTGATGTATGGTTTTTATATACTGTTGGGTCTCATTTGATTTTTTTTTTTTTAGATTGTCTGCAGATATGTTTAGAAAAGATACTGGCCTGCACGCTTTTCTTGTAATGACCTAATCTGGTTTTGCTATCTCATAAAATTAATTGAGAAATAGTCTCTCTTCTTGAGTAGCGTGGAGAGTTTGTACAGAACTGGTTATATATACATATATTTAACTTTGGCAGATGCATCGGGGCAGCCATCTGGAATCGATATTTTCTTATGAGAAAGTCCTTAAATTACAAATTTAATTCCATTCCTCAGACAGGCCTCCTCAGGTCACGGTTCTCTGCCAAGTGAGCTTGACAGTTCGTATTTCAAGTTTTCTCACTTTATCTGAGTTGTCAAATGTAATGGCACAAAATCGCTCATCACATTCCCTTCTCCCCCTTTCCCTCGTTAATGATGTCACAGTCCTCATTCCTGATGGTGGCGGTTCCGGTGTCCTCTTTACCTGACCCTCTCACTAGAGAATGCCAATGTGTGGATCTCCTCAAAACAAAACACGCTCAGTGTCCCTGGTTTGTTTCTGTTGAGAACGGCAAGCACAGGGAAATGTGACATCGATGGGATACAGGTGACCATGTCTCTGGTCCGTGGGTTATTTCAGCGTTTCCAGATATCTGGGGATTTTCCACGGGTCTTGGTGCTCAGAGAGGACACTTGATATGACTTCCATTCTTTTGAACTCACTGATCGTTATTGTCTGGCCCAGAAATGCCTGACCTCGGCACACAGGTCACGTCCCTGGAGAAGAACTCGCAGTGGGTCCCACGGGGGCGAGGGGAGAACTGCCCAGAATATCTAATGGGGAAGCAGTCGATGGAGCTGTGCCAGCCGTTAATGTCCCTCTGGCATTCTTGCCACTCGCCGTGTCCTGAGAGAGCACATGGGTCTCCTGCTGGCACTGGGGTCTGTCCGTCTCTCCTGGTACTTTACCTGTGTTTGCTTCGTGGATTTTTTAAGCCATTTTATTAGATACACGCACGTTTAAAATTACATTTTTTTAAGAAATTCATGTCTTCAATACGACAAAGTGACTGTCTTGCTCCTGGAAGTGTCCATTGCTCTGACAACAGCTTGCCTTGCGTGAGCCTGCCACTCCGGCTTCGTCTTGGCCATTGCCAGTGTGGTCACACTGTATACGACACTTACATCCGCTCTTGCACTCAACTGGCTAAGCTGCGTTTTCGAGAGGGCTAAAGTATTTTTAAAAACTTTCTGCCCTCACACGCTGTTGGAAAAGGAATGAATATTTTAATAGCTTCTTAAACAATTCTGCTCATTCATATTTAAACTGCCATAAAAATTGACCAATGATACCCACTTAAGTGTCACCTGCAATGTGGGATTAAATCATAGCAATGAACACTAAAGCGTGTTCCGCTGGCTTCCACATGGAATTACTGCCTTCTCCACGCATAGCTTAGTGCCATCACCCACGGGCCACGCTCCCCAGTGCTCCCGCATTTCAGAATATAATAGCAGCGGCGTCACCTTTATTACACGTTTATTAGCATGGCTATACAGTTAGTCTAGTCCAGGGGTCGGCAAGCTCATTCATCAACAGAGCCGCATGTGCCGCTCTGCTGACTAATGAGTTTGCCAACCACCGGGGTGGGAGAAAGCAAAGGGAAACCTCTGGGATTGGGTAAGAGTGAGATGATGGACAGCTGCTTTCTCACTCAGGTGGTGCAGGACGGTTAGCAGGCAGCCATGAACAGGGTAACAAGTTGCTAAAATAGTCCTCAGCACTTTTTTGCATGCTGAGGGGTAAGGAAAAGGGAAGCTACCCCGCATCCCACAGGGGCGTGACCGTAGACGCAGAAAGACAATAGCTCCGTAAAGGTGGGAGCTGACCTCTGTCTGGGAAAATGCTAGCTAGGACGTGACTCCCACCATAAACTGCTCTGAGTTCAGGTTTCGTTGCAGACCGTTCTGTGTGGTCACGGCCCCCCTGAGCTGGTTGGTGAGCCTGTGGCCTTATTTTTTTTTTTACCATAAAAGCCAAATGCCATTCGGATATCGACGTTATTGCACTGACATTAAAGCTCCCTGCTGCCGATACCGGTGTGGCTCAGTGGATAGAGCATTGGTGGGTCTGCGGACTGAAAGGTCAAGGGCATATATATATTGGTTGCGGGCACATCCCTGGTAGGGTGTGTGCAGGAGGCAGCTGGTCGATGATTCTTTCTCATTGATGTTTCTAGCTCTCTGTCCCTCTCTCTTTCTCTCTGTGGAAAATCAATAAAATAAAATAAATTTAAAAAAAAAAAGTTCCCTGCCATCCTGCTGGCAGCCTGGGACTATGTGGTGCCATGGGCTTCGGGCGGGCAGGGCCTGTATCTGTGCACTGACTGCTCCACCGCATGAGGGTGTAGCCCGAGTGTGTGTGTGGGCGAGCTGGGAGACGCAGCCAGGGTCGGTGTCCCCTGCCTCTCGCTGGGATGACAGGAATGGCCCAGCTGGAGTTCCCTCACCGCCCACGTGGTGTTCTGGATAGAGGGCGGCTCATCTGAATTGTTGACAGTCTTTCTGGGACTGTTTTGAAGGCAAGGCAATTCAGCTTTGGCTAAACTCTTATAATCAAACCTAATGGCCAACATTGTCAAGATGAGTGGATAGAACTCATCTGTTGTTGGCACTGTAATTATAGGTAATCTGGGGCTGTTTTTACTTGAAAAGAGTCAACTATTAAGTTGCTAAAATAGTCCTCATCCAACTGTATTGATGCTGTTTTTCTTGCTTCTTTGGAAATATTTTTCTCCGTAGACAGTCTAGGTGTTAACTGCAGTGTTATCTCTACGGAATGGTAGATAAGCACAGCCCCAAGTGCAGGGCTTTCTCGTTTGAACCCAGATAAATGTGGGGACGGCTTTCTTCGCATCGACCCCTCTCTGTGAGACAAAGCGTGCTCTGAAGCGCCGGAGACAGCGGCAGGGGCTGATGGGAACTTGCAGATGCTGGTGCGGGGCAGTGAGGCAAGGCTCTGCCCATGGCCCTGTCTCTTTATGCAGCTGCTTTCAGTGCTATAGGACGACCCGCAGCTCCCGAAGACACAGTCAGCTTTGGTTTTGCAATCAGAGCTGTTGAGCTGGTCGCCATCTTGTGTCCACATGGGGGCAGCCATCTTGTGGCCACATAGGGGCAGCCATCTTGAGTGTTGGAGTGATGGTCAATCTGCATATTACTCTTTTTTTAGATAGGATAGAGGCCTGGTGCATGGGTGGGGGCCAGCTGGATTTCCCTGTAGGGTGTCCCAGATCAGGGTGGGAATCCCTTTGGGGTTTGGGATGGCCTGGGCGAGAGACCTGTGGTGGATTACAGGCCAGCCATGCCCCCTGGTAACCCAAGCAGAGGCCCTGGTATCTGGAATTTATTTACTTTTTACAATTGAAACTTGGTAGCCTGGAGCGGAGCCAAGACGTCTGCTTGCTCTGTGGCTTCTGCCATTTCTGCTTGGATTTGTTTACCTTCTATAACTGAAACTTTGTAGCCTGGAGTGGAGGCCTAGGCCTGCAAGGGCAGGTGGAAAGCTTGGCTTCTTCCATTGCCTGGGAAACCCAAGCCTCCCTCCTGCTCTCTGTACCTGCAACCATCTTGGTTGGGGTTAATTTGCATACTTGCTCAGATTGGCTGGTGGGCATGGCTAGTGGGTGTAGTGGAGGTATGGTCAATTTGCATATCACTCTTTTATTATATAATATTTATATTTTTAATAAAATAAATTTTAATATATATACATATTTTATTGATTTCAGAGAGGGAGAGAGATAGAAACACCAACGCTGATGAGAGAGAATCATGGATTGGCTGCCTCCTGCACACCCCACACTGGAGACGGAGCCCCAGCCCAGGCCGGTGCCTTGACCGGGAAGGGCAGGAACCATAACTTCCTGGTTCAGAGGTCGATGCTCAGCCCTGGAGCTCTGCTGGCCAGGCTCTCCCTTCTTTTTTGTCACCATTGAGCTCAGGGCTTGTGCAGTGGAAAGCTGGCGTGGAGTGTCCTCCTGTGGCCATGGCCTGTCCAGGGGGGATAACCCAACCCACTCACTCCCGCACACCCGGCCGGGGTGCCTTCGGGCCTGAGGGGGCCTCACAGGGGCTGGCGCACCTGTTACACGTGGTCCCACAGCATCATCGCGTCCCCCCCTGTCTCCGATGCCCAGGTCTCAGGCAGCCAGAGCCGAGGTGGGTCTAACTGGAGGCCGGACTCCTTTCCACCCAAACGGTGCTTTCCTGTGAGACGCTTTGTGAGCCACGCGTCTCTGCCCTGCCTCTGACTGTAACCGATGTTTATGACCACAATCTAGACTCTTTCCTGAGAACGTTCCTGTTTCTGTGGAGCAAGTGTTTTCTCATAAACTTCATTATGATCAAGACACTTAACAGGCGATTTATCTTCTTAAAAACGTTGAGGTGTTGGCAGTCAGGGCAGTGCGTACAGCGGGTCTCTGGAACAGACTCCTTGAACCTCGCACCTGCTCTTTAATGACCCCGCCCTGCCCCCATACCCACCACCGTGCCAGCCTCCGGTCCATGGAGCCGGCCCTTCCACAGGCTTTAGTGGGCCAGAGCGACGCAGCCCTCACCTTCCTGTGCTGACTTCCTCGTGATCTGGACCTGTTTCTGTGAGATCTTGTTTGAGGGGGCATCTATCCGGGTTTGTCTTAGGGATACACCGCCCATCCCCTTCTCCCCGCTTCAGCCACCGCCCTCAGGCCCTCCCTCGGCCCCTGTGTGTCCCAGAGGCGCCGGAGGGCCTACGGCTCTGGTGATGAGGCCGCAGAGCAGACTGGGAGCCCTGCGGTGCCCCCGAGGCGGCCTCTGCCTCAGGCCCTGGTACATCTGTGCAGAACCCCTGCCGGCTGCTCAGGGTTCACGTTGGTTTGACAGCATGGATGGCGGCAGGGCTGAGACGGCATCTCCTAACGGGCTGTTTTCTGTCCTGTCGCCGCGTAGGGTCGGCGCGAGCGTGCAGTTCTCCTGCGAGGACAGCTACGTGCTGCAGGGCTCCAAGAGCATCACCTGCCAGCGGGTCACCGAGACGCTGGCCGCCTGGAGCGACCACCGGCCCCTCTGCCGAGGTGAGCAGGGGCAGCGGCACCGGGACCCCTCTTTCTTTAGGGTTTCCAGGTCCTTCTGAATCCACCGTGAGCTGGAAGCACAGAGCCCTCTGCGGCGACAGAGCTGGACATGGCGACGGAGTATCTGTTCACAGGGTCATTGTGGGTAACAGAAATAGTTCCTGGGTGTTCGTCAGGAGGCAGGCCTTTTCAGGGATGTGTGTGGTTTAAAAACTCAGCCCCGCTGGTGTGCTCAGTGGGTAACTATGGACCCATGAACAGGAGGTCACAGTCCGGTTCCCGGACAGGGCACAGGCCCGGGTTGCAGGCTCGATGACCCATAGGGGCGGGGGAGGCGTGCGGGAGGCAGCCAATCCATGAATCCCTCTCATCATTGAGGTGTGTGTCTCTCTCTCCCTCTCTCTTCCTCTCTTAAATCAATTTAAAACATCATTTAAAATTGTAGAAGAAATACAAGCAAATGGAGTCACTGAAACTCACACACGCTTATTTTGTGTGTGTGTGTGGGGGGGCCTTCTGTGAGCTGAGTATATTTATATGCCCAGCCTGCACACGTGTGAACATTTTATGTAACCGGGTCCCTGCTGATGTGAAAGGGATTGCCTTCAGTGGCAGTGGAGCGATTGCCTGGGAGTTGATGTTGTTACCATGGGAACAAGCTGGTTATTAATAATAGGAACGGAGCAGAGGGAAGGCCGGTGTTACAGGCGCGTCAGTGGGGCGGCTTCCCCAGGCAGCTGCCACGTCACTGCCCGCAGGGAACCACCGCCTGTTCCTGAGGCCGCTGGGGGAGGGGCCCGGGAAAGAGGGCGGGCGCACATGCAGTGAAGTCAGGGTGATGTGGGGAAGGTGCCTGGGAACAGAGGTTGTTGCCAGAAGCGGTGGGGCCCCTGCAGAGTGGAAATCTTCGAAGGTGAAAACCCCAGCCGGGGACATGGAGAGGTCCCCACCGACAGCAGCATCAGTGACAGAGCTGCGGGAGCTGGAGCACAAGCTGCCATTTTATTGGTAAATGATCTCAAGCTGATCTCCAGCCTCGTTGGCGCACAGAGCTCTAAGGTGAATCAAGCGTGTCCGTGCGGCACAGGAAGCACTTGCTGCCTCTCCCCTGGGCTCCTTTGTCCGGAAGCATGCGTGGTACATGGCAGTGCTGTGAGGCAGGGGGCACTGTCCCACCTCTCGTCTGGGTGAGCCTGAGCAGCTCCAAGGCTCCAGGGGGCTCCAGCGGCCCTCGCTGGTCCCTGAGGCCTCAGTCTGGGCCCCTCTGGGACGAGAGACATTGCTCTGCTTCAGTGGTTGTTTACATGGTGTCTGAGGCTGGACAGACCTGGAGTAAAAATCCTGTATAACAAAAGCCTAATATGCAAACCGACCAAATGGCAGAATGAGCGGTAGAATGACCAATTGCTATGATGCCAACTGACCACCAGGGGGCAGAGGCTTAATGCAGGAGCTGCCCCCAGCCACAGGCCCCAGGGCAGCCAAGGCAGGTGCCAGCAGGGCACACCCCCCTAACCCGCCCCCTCCCCCTGCCTCCACACTCCCTGATCACTCCACTGGTCACCCACAGATTGGCCCTAGTCGCTGGGAAGGCCTCATGAACCTACCCATGCATGAATTTCATGCCCTGGGCCTCGAGTTGTCTATAAGAGTACCTTTGTTGGTTGTTGCTCTGTGTCTCTGTTGTTTGTTTAATTTGTTTAAGGAAGGGGCACTTCCCGTGTCGCTGTGGGCTCGCTGCTTGTGGCAGGTTGACCTGTGGCCTGGAGTGCAGGAACTTCACGCCACCAGTTCCAGAAAGTCTTTGCTAGTGAGAGTTCTTGTCTGTCTGTCTGTAATGGAACTGTGGTTGCTGGTGTTCTTTGCTTGCTTTCTATCTTTTGGGGGTTTCGCTTGCTCTTTGCTGTTTTAAGGACACGGGGAACCCTCCGTCTCTGCGGTGTGGGCTTTATGCCACTCAGAGCCCGTATGCCGGCCTGAGTTCCTATGAGATAAGATCCTAAGGCCAATGTCCCAGCCCGCCCTTGTGAGAGTATTCCCTTATTGACTGGGGTTTTTTGTTTGTTATTTCTGTTTTTAAGATCTCTTCTTATATGCAGCCTACTCAGAAAGAAAAATACAGGAAATAAAACCTTCTAAGCCACCAAGTCTTTTCCTAGGAGGGGTGCCCTCCAGCAGGCTTCAAAATAGCAGTGGGCCTGGGGTGGCACTCCCATCTCAGAAAGAAAAATTTAAAAAAAGTAGTACTTCCACATTAAAGTCACTGGAGGCCAGTGAGTTATTCCTGTTACAACACTTGCCAAGAAAATGCCTTGGGTAATACTAATCGGCTCTAAAATCTCAAAGTTGTTCAGACATAATGAATAGATGTAACTAAAATGAAGGATTTATGAGAAAGCTTTTCAGTGATAATTACATGTGCATGTACATAATTTTCCAACGTCCTTGGTAACATAAGACCCTTTTCGCTGAGCTGGTAATGGTTGGCTCCGTTGATGCAGAAGTGACCCAGCTGGCCTGAGGCACAGTAAAAGCCGGAATGCCACCTCCAGGGCTACCCAGGGGATAAATCAAGAGCTGAGCCGGGCCAGGGAGGCAGTGCTAGAAGCTCCGGCAGCAATAGATTATTTGTTCTTGCAGCATAACCACGGGAGTGAGGAATTTAAAGGAATGTGCCATTTTAATCTTTTGGACAATTCTCAATTAATAGAACACACAACATTCAGCAAATTAGGGAAACGGTCTCCAAGGGAAAGCAGCGAGGAAGGTCTTATGGATTTGAGTTATCCCATCTGTCTGGGTTACGGGAATTCTTTTTCATTTCTCTGGTGTTTACATTCTGTAGCCTGAGAGTTCACTGCTGTAGTCAATGCCTTCCTCTTTTTAGATCCTGCAGCTGCTGTATTCCATCCCCAAGAACTGCTTTCAAGGCAGATGCAATTGGAATCCAACAGGCTGATATTTTTCTTCTAAAACTAACCTCGTAGCCATGAGAGGATAGAAATAGCAGTGAGGGGATGACAGGGGCCAAAATAGAATTCTGGGGACCGGCTCTAATTAGAAGAAATATTAATCGTGTGCTTTTAACTCTGATTATTTTGTTCTGATTAAAGAAGGCACAGTCTGCCAGCCAGCATGGCTCAGTGGCTGAGCATTGACCTGTGAACCAGGAGGTCACGGTACAGTTCCCGGTTCCTGGGTGACAGGCTCAATCCCCAGTGCAAAGTGTGCAGGCAGCAGCCGATCAATGGTTCTCTCAGCATTGATGTTCCTATCTCTCCCTCTCCCTTCCGGTCTCTGAAATGAATACAAATATATATTTTGAAAAATTAAAAAATAAAGAATGCACATTCTCACCTGGCTGGGAGTTGTATGGGACCAGAAAGCTCACCTGGAAATGCAGCCCAGGAGCTGCCTGTGATCATGGGGAAATGAGTGGCCTGTTGCAGAGACCAGAGCCACCAGCCCTTTGCACACCCACAGGCCTCTGCAATTCCCCAGCCCCCATTACCTGTAATCTGCCCATTTGGCACACCCTCCTGCCTGCTTCCCAGGTAACCTCTGTCCTTCTCCCTCACATTAGCAGTGGGCTGATGGGAGGTGGGGGCAGAGCAGATTTGTGTGGGTGACCTGGGGTCCCCCTGATGTTGGCAGGACTGGAATGAGCGCTCAGACAGCATCCAACCCTGTTCCTGCTGTAGTAGCTGAGGTAGCGGCAGGCGGCCGGACCCCTGGCTGTCAGTTACACTGTGGCGTCGTACTGTAGGGCACAGAGCTGGGCAGTACGCCTGGCCCCGAGAGCAGGGTGTGGTGTGGTGTGGTGTGGCGTGGCAGCTGGCGGGTGATCGTGTGAGGAAGCACCCATCTCCAGTCCGACATCTGTGCGTGGCTGTGCCCGCGGCCTGTGGCCCTGGCCCGCCCTGTGGGTGGCGCCTCCTCGGTGTGATCTCTCAGGCTGTCGGAGCTGCAGGAAGTGTATGTCCCGCCCCGGATGGGATAGATGATGTTCCGGCCGTTAATGAGGACGGAGCCCAGGCATGACGGCTCCCCGAGGAAAATAACGCGCTTTCACTCCTTCCCGCGCTCCTGGCCCTTCCCCTCATGAGCACCTGTCACGGCGGTAACAGGCCCGGCCCACAGAGCTCATCATTCTGTCTGACACAAAGGGTGTGGAGGGCGCTCCTCGCTCCTGTCTGACTGGTGAGCCGTGGCTCTCCCTCCCGCCCTGATCTCCGTCCCACTCCCATGGGCTCCGTCCCACTCCCATGGGCTCCATCCCATTCCCATGTGCTCCGTCCCATTCCCATGGGCTCCATCCCATTCCCATGTGCTCCGTCCCACTCCCATGGGCTCCGTCCCACTCCCATGGGCTCCGTCCCATTCCCATGGGCTCCGTCCCATTCCCATTTACGCGTGGACAGCTGTAGGCCTGGGCATGACGGTGATGGTGGCCAGGAGGGCAATGTCTCAGAGGGCACAGGATTCACATTCCCAGAACACCAGGCCTGCGGGCGAGCAGTCACGGACGGAGAGGAGGGTCTGGGGGGCAGGCAGCATTTCTGTTCTTTCTGTGGTGATGTAAGTGGAAAGGAGAAATGGCTCGCCAGGCAGTGAGCTACAGCTGGAGGGCAGGGTTTCTCAGACCCCTCCCCATACCGCCCTCGGAACACAGAACCCTGTTCTGTTTTGTGGTTTGTTTGTTTTTTTTAAATAGATTTTAGAGAAGGGAGAGAGGGAGAGAGAGAAGCATTAATGATGAGAGAGAACATGGATCGGCTGCCTCCTGCACGCCCCACACCAGGGATTGAGCAGCCACCTGGACATGTGTCTTGACCAGGAATCGAACTGGGACCTCCTGGTTCATAGGTCGCCGTTCGGCCCCTGAGCCACGCTAGCCAGACTCTGTGATGGGGTTTGCCTGATGGATTTTAGGGAAATGAAGCTGATCTCTCCCGTGCGTTATCACTTGTGAAATGTGTTTCTTACTTTCTCAAGCCGTGTTTAAATGATCAATGTCAAAACGGGTTCAGGCTGACATTGGATTCCCTGGTATCATCTATGGGTTGGAAAGGAAAATACCTCCATCCTACAGAGCAGGTCAGGTGAAGTGTTTTATATTCCAAAGTGTTTTATATATATATAGTGATTTCAGTGAGAGGAAGGGAAAGGGAGAGAGAGAGAAACACCAATGATGAGAGAGAATCACTGGTCGCCCGCCTCCTGCACGCCCCCTCCTGAGGATCCAGCCCACAACCCAGGCATCTGCCCTGACCTGGAATTGAACCGTGACCTCCTGGTTCCACCACTGAGCCACACCAGCCGGGCGGGAGGCACGATTTCCACTTTCTTCCTTTAAACGTGGACATGCTGTTGAGGCTCCTGTGTGCACTGGCTGTCCGGGAGCCTGAGGCCTGAGGGGGACATGGCAGGCCGCCCCGTGTGCAGCGAGGGGACCAGCTTGGCCGGGGTGGTGTGACACATGGTTTGGTTGAGACAGTGGCCTGGGCCTGCGTCCCTGCACCGCGCCGTCCACTCCGCCGTGCCCACCCGAGGGCCACCGGGGCGCGCACAGCCGTCTGGGCTCCCTGAGGTGCCACCGTCCACGGCGCTGCACCACTGGCCGTGCTGAGGGCCGAGGCTGGGCGGCGCGGGGGCCGGGAGAGAGTTTGTTCCCGTGGCGGCTGCACACCAGGTCCTGCCGGGCGGCGCCCGCTGGGCAGCGAGCTCAGGAGCCGCCCTCAGCCGCTGCCACTCCCGCGGAGGGGGGCGGGGAAGTAACTCTCTGTGTTCGCAGCTCGGACCTGCGGCTCCAACCTGCGGGGGCCCAGCGGCACCATCACCTCGCCCAACTACCCGGTGCAGTACGAGGACAACGCCCACTGCGTGTGGGTCATCACCGCCTCGGACCCCGACAAGGTAAGGCCGCCTCTGGCCTCCGCGGGGCGCGGCGGCACCGGGCTGGGCAGCGTGATTATTCTGGGGCCCGACGTGGGGTGTAACGTGCCCGACGTGGGGTGTAATGTGCAGGACATAGCGTGTAACGTGCACTACATAGCGTGTAACGTGCATGACGTAGGATGTAATGTGCACGTCATAGCGTGTAACGTGCACGACATAGGGTGTAACGGCTTTGGGGGGGGCGTGTGGCTGTGTGTAACAGCTTTGGGGGGCCATGTGACTGTGTGTAATGGTGTTCAGGGGCCGTGTGACTGTGTGTAACGGTTTTGGGGGGGCCGTGTGACTATGTGTAACGGCTTTGGGGGGCCGTGTGACTGTGTGTAATGGTTTTCGGGGGCCGTGTGACTGTGTGTAATGGTGTTCAGGGGCCGTGTGACTGTGTGTAACTAACGGCTTTGGGGGGCCATGGGACTGTGTATAACGGCTTTGGGGGGCCAGGTGAACTTTTATAACAGCATCTGAGGGCCAGGTGACTGTGTGTAACGGTGTTCAGGGGCTGTGGGACTGTGTATACGGCTTTGGAGGGCCAGGTGGATATTTATATAAGTGTTCGGGAGCCATACGGAATTGTCCACGTGGAAATGAGCCTCTCCATCAGGTCAGACCTCTCACTAGCTCACTGGCGCCACATGCCAGAGGCTCCCGTGCTGGACGGTGCGCGTGGAGCGGGGCCGTTGCTGGCCGGGGCGATGGGGAGTCTTTGCGGGGGGCCAGCCAGAGGCATTGCTGCATTCCCAGGGCTGCCTCACGTTCCTTGTGGATCGAGGGGGCGGGTCAGGAGCCCCTGAGGGGACAGAGGTCACCACGGAAGGGGCGGTGGGCATTCTCTCCACCCCCACCAGCTGCGTGGGCAGCAAACAGCTGACCATGTGGCGCCCTGGTTGCCATGGAGCTGCCGCACTCACCCCAGGCTGCGCTGGGAGTCTCAGTCAGGCAGCGTGTGGACACCAGCTGCCCTCCCCCCCCCCCGCCCCCTCGCTGTTGTTATGAAAGGATGCGTACAGCGGCATGACCCACGGGACCCTGGAGGCTGGGGGTGGCTTTCTGTTCGAGGTCAGTGGAGAGGGTGGCCCTGTGGGTGCCAAGGAAGGAGGGCAGGAGGGTGCCGCCCCGGGAGGCTCTCAGGGGCCAGTGCGGCCGGAGCGGAGGGAGCCGGTCCACAGAGGAAGCTCGGGGCTGCAGGAGGATGATGGGACCCAGACAGGACAGGGCCACAGGGCCAGGTTCTGAGAGAACGAGGTGGCGGGGAGACGGCCAGGCCAGGCAGACCGCAGTGCGTGCGCTCACACTGTGTGCACCGTGTCCCTGACGGGTCCCTCAGCAGCGGAGGGAAGAGGAGAGCCGCTGGTGCTGTAATGCCGTGAGGGAATTCAGCTAATCAGGCGTCTTCGGAGAGGGAGCGATTACCTTTTCAAATTATGAAATTATTCCGCCGCGTTTTTACATAATTTTAAGTAACAGATTCATCCAGACCCAGAAAGGCACTCATTTGCATGGAGATGGTGTTGGGGGAGGAAGAATTAAACCGGATAGGAAACAGCTCGAGATGCTCAGATGGGATTGGGTGGGGAGGGCTCCACGGGTTTTATTTACACGCGGAGACGACGGATGTGGGAAGCGGGTGGGGTACGGGCTGCAGCCCAGGCCGGGCGTCCCTGGAGGTGACCCCTGACCCTGAGCAGCCCAGGGACCAGGCGGTCTGTTTTCCGCACTCACTCTTCTCTTAAAAAATATCTGTATTGATGTCAGAGAGGAAGGGAGGGAGAGAGAAACACCCACGATGAGAGAGAATCTCTGATCAGCTGCCTCCTCCATGCCTCCCACTGCAACCCAGGCCTGTGCTGTGACCGGGAATCGAACTGTGACCTCCTGGTTCCTAGGTGGACGCTCAGCCACAGAGCCTTGCTGGCCGGACACGCATCACTCTTGTCCCCTGTCCCTGGACGCCCTGCAGCGAGTGGGCCCTGGGCCCTCCTCCCTCCTCCCTCCTCCACGTGATGGATGGATTAGTCGTCTCCGTCACCTCCGTATACTCACCCTCTGTGCAGCCGTCCCTGTTCACGGCGCAGACGGGCCACTTCCCGTGAACCGCGGCTGGCTCGGGACAGGCTCGGCTCAGGTCTGTGCTCGTCCTCCCTGTGCACTCCCTTCAGCCTCGGCACATCCGTGTTCTCTCCTTCCCGCTGACCGATCGGGTTCTCACAGGACCCACTGACCCCCCTTCCTGATCAAAGGAGCTCGTGTCACCACCCCTCCGTGCTGCTCCCCAGGGGAGGAAGAGGGAGCCAGGCCCACGTTTTATATTTGCTTGTAATTTTAGCAAAAACCTGAATCACACACACACAAATGCACATACTCACACACATGCATGCTTGTGTGTATATCGATACATGCATACACCGCACGCACACACACACACTGCAGACAGCATTTTTCAGAAGGACGGGTCTGCATGCAGGAGACAGTGAGGACACAGGAAGCCAAGGCTGAGACTAGAGAGACCCTAGCACCCGCCTACTCCCTGTGAGTGATAGGCCGGGGGCGGGGCTTTGGCACGGAGTGGGCGGGGCCAGGAGCCAGGGCAGGCTCTCAGAGAAGCCTCAGGTTTACTGATGGGGCTTTTCGGTAAAAGTCCTCCCCCTTTAGGGAGGACACTGCCATCACGTGAGGCTGCACCTTAGGCCTCTGGGGTGGGAATGAAGTGGCTGGTAAGTATCTTCTCTGTGCAGGTCTCCGTCCTCAGCATCTGAGTGCCCGTCTGTGGGATGGAGGGCCGGTGTGAGGCCGGACTTGCTAGGGAATGAAGAGCCGCATCGTTCTAGTTGTAGACCACTGCGGGCAGAGGCAGGGCCAGCTCAAAGCGCGCTGTAAAGATAAACCGCTACCTCCCGGCCAGCCAGCCCACAGGTCGGCCTGCGGTTTGGGCTCTAAACATGGCCAGATCCCTGTGCTCCGCGGCCTCAGCATGTCTCCTGAGGGAGCACGGGTCCCCGTCGCCACCGGCTGGGCTGTGGTTGCCACTCTGCAGGCATCGGCTGTTGTGTTTCTGACTCCGCCCCAGGACCACCCGGAGCAAACTGCATTTCCCCGGCGGCCTGTGGCCTGCCGGTCTGCCCATCGGAGTGAGGGGGCTGTGGGTTTGGGAGTCTGTGCTCACGGCCTGGCCTGGCCCTGGGACCCCCTGACGTGGCAGCAGTGCCCGCAGGCCCGGGAGGGGAAGGAGCCAAGCAGACGTCCTGTGGGCAGAGGGGAGCAGGTGTGCTGACCTGAACGAGCCCCAGAGGAGGTGGGCCATCAGCCGCCCCTTCCGGTGACACTGCTGACAAGCCCCCTTGTCATTCTGGGTGCCACTGGCAGGGACTCCCCGGCGCCCCCTGGCTGAGTCTGTGGCTCCGCGGGCCTCGGTGAGGGGATCTGGATGTTTCTGTTTGTAACGGGCATTGGTTTTGTTGTTGAGGAAAAGGCAGCCGCTTCCTTTGACACGTTTGCTAAAGGACTGAACCAATGGTCCCTCCTCCCAGGACCACTTCTGGTCCTGCCATGACAACAAAGGGTCCCAGGTAGACCTCCCTGTCCAGGCAGGGCACTCATGGTTCTGAAGAGTCCCCGTGGCAGACGCCGTGGGTACCGCCAGGGCTGAGGGAACACGTGTGGCGTGGAGTAACGGACTGAACCATCCAGAGCCCACGCGTGTGACCCTCGTGCCTGTCCTGCGTGGCTTGTCCGTGGTCAGGGTCAGGGTCAGGGTCAGCGTTCTCCACTTCACCCGGAGAAGCAGCCTCGGTGCCTGTCTCTGCGGCTGAAGGCCGTGCTCACACCGCATCGGGCGGACTGGCTGTGCAGACGCAGTGCCATCCAAATGCCACTGCAGCCCGGCCGGCGTGGCTCGGTGGCCGAGTGTCCACGTATGAACCCGAAGGTCAGTTTGATTCCCGGTCAGGGCACAGGCCCGGGTGGTGGGCTTGATCCCCAGTGTGGGGCGTGCAGGAGGCAGCCGGTCAGAGATGCTCTCTCCTCATGGATGTCTCTCTCTCTCTCCCTCTCCCTCTCTGAAATCAATAAAAATATATTTTAAAAAAATAAAATGTCCAACTTTAATCCTTCATGGAAAAAGGTCTGACAACTTAAGCTGCGAGTCTCACAGACACACATCTCTGTATATGCATATGTATGTAGATAATAACTAAATGACGGAAATAGAGAGAAAATCCAAACTATGATTGGCAACGCTTGAAAAGCTCGCTTTTGAATTAAACGTTATCAGAAGCAAATGCATATATACATGCACACATATTTTAAATTTATATGTAAACCAGGTTTATCTTGATGTGGGATTAAGGAAAATGAGCCACGATTTTGTAAAATCTCCCCGAAGCGAGCTTTGAATGAGTTCCTTCAAAGGCGGCATTTTCTGACTGGAGCCCAGGTCTCGAGCTAGGTCCCTGGGTGCCAGCATCTGCCACCCTCCTGCGCCCAGAGCTCCCTCCGCTTGGCTTAGGTCACCGGATTCCGTTGAGAAAATCCAGATCAAGGTTGTATGCACCAGTTGAACTTTACAATTCAAAATTGTGATGAAATGATGATAAGCCTGGTTTTCAGAAAACCAGTTTACTAGCATCTACTGAAACTGTCTAGGTGACAGCTTTTGTTAAAGCAATGTCCCCCGTGCACTGTCAGGAGGGGCACGGTTTGGGGCGCCGAAGGGATCCTCGTGACCATACGTTGCGCACTTCTGCCTGACACCCAGTTGTCAAAAGCTCAGATGATTTATCCTATTTTTGACAATCAAATGCACATTTGCATGCACACGTGGTATTGGAACCCTCATGAGTCTCAGTAGCTTCCTATTTGAAGAGAGAACCATTTGCAGAAATAATTCGTCCAGGTGTTTTCTGTCTGGCAGTTTCCAGTGTCGGGGCAGAAAGTCTAAATGGCCCCACAGCCACGGTTTCCGCCCA